GTTCAGGGTGAAAGCTGATGAGCTGGGAAGGCCAAGAAACAACAATATTTTACTCTCACGAATAGCAGTTGTTGATATGAAATTATGGGTACTTGGGGGATGAGCAAGGTCTATGGTAGAATTTTTGGCTGTAGTGATTTTCACCAGCATTACCTCACCTCTGGAGGCTGACGCAGCAAGGATGAAACGTGAACATCACTGAGGATTCCCATCTGGTGTCATCGGCATTCTTACATGTTGCAAGATGACATCCTGCTGTCCCGCCCAATTCTTATGCACCCCCCGCCGCACACGCTCAGTTGCAGGGTTATATTTTTTCTTAATTTCTATCCCTAGAGGAAGTGTGAATCTTGTTCTGCTGACCATGAACATGACTATAATACCTGGAAAAACTTCAAACACAACAAACGGTCTAGCAGCACCTTAACGACTAACAGAACATGTAGATGGAATCGTGAGCTTTCGTGGGCACAACCCACTTGCTATTCCTGTTATTCGTTCTTCTTACACGTAGACCGAAGTGATGCTACTGAAAGCGGATGTGGTGGGTGGCAATATTATTTGAGGGGCTGACATTAAGGACTTCTCAGTGACGTAATGGTTTTCCAGGGGCTTTTACTAGCCATTCAGTAGCACAGGCCAGAAGAGTAGTGTAGTGAGCCGTACATTTTTCTGTTTCCTAAGCCAGCAGTTTCGCGTCCACAAGTCCCAGCCACAGAGAGCCAAGCAGGAGTTTTGTCTAACAGCAATACTAAAGCCTTCCTAGTTTCCAGGCTACTTCTATTAGGCTGTGTCTAGACTACATGCCTCTGTCGGCAGAGGCATGTAGATTAGACACATAGGCAAAGGCAAATGAAGCCGCGATTTAAATGATCGCGGCTTCATTTACATTTACATGGCTGCCGCGCTGAGCCGACAAACAGCTGATCAGCTGTTTGTCGGCTCAGAGCCATGTAGATTTGTTGTTTTGGCAAAAGCAAATGAAGCCGCGATTTAAATGATCGCAGCTTCATTTACATTTACATGGCTGCCGCGCTGAGCCGACAAACAGCTGATCAGCTGTTTGTCGGCTCAGCGCGGCAGCCATGTAAATGTAAATGAAGCTGCGATCATTTAAATCGCGGCTTCATTTGCTTTTGCCAAAACAACAAATCTACATGGCTCTGTCGACGGAGCCACGTAGTCTAGACGTACCCTTACTGTCCTACAGGCAGGTCACGAGACTTGGTGAAATGAATTTGAGTTGCAAAATGCCATTGTCTTGCAATCTTTCTTGACTGCCAGTTCCTGAAAGGCCACATTCTCTGAAAGGCAGATTGTCTTTACTGGAACAAGACTGTCACAACATCCCTCAGTAATACAGCAGGTATTAAATATACATACGGTAAACACTGTGAAATAGCCTGTTCTATGCTTGGGAATTCCCACCTCTCTAGTA